CTTAATTCAGCTTAATTTTCCTGATATTCCAATTATTTATGTGTCATATTTTACAATAAATATTTGTATATAGATATCCAATATCCCAAGGACTAATCTAATTTAGTATCCAATACATGTCTTTACCCAACTGATCTTGGTTGAAATCCAATATAATGCTATCATATTCAATTAGTTTTTCAACTTATTCCCAGGGGTATTGGTGAAGCTCCCAGAGTATGTTTTCTGTGTTCTTCATAATACCAACAATTAAACCTTATAGGATTTCCTGGAAAAATGTTCCATAACATTCAATCTATAAAAAGACTATTAAGCACGTGCCTCTCACATGGACAAATAGGTCTGGTAGAGGAAATGTGCCTATCTAGGAGGAAATGTGTTGTCCTTTCTGCTTGCATTTTGGAACCTACTAAAGAGCAATATTTGTATGTGTGTGAACAGAATAAAAGAAACCCTAATCAAAGGGACTCCAGATGTACTTTGTGTGAGACTGTTCTTCATCTTTCTGGTCTGGTGGGTCTACCCATTGGCCAACAGCTCTGTTTACTACATGTGGTGGTAATTAGGTCCTTAATTAACATTTGTAATAGTAGCCTAGAGTAAATAGATATGGCAACCATCTGTAAATACTGACTTCTAATAACTATGTTAATATCTAATTTACTTGTTCTAATTATCTTGTTAAACACCAATAAAATGTTAACACCCTTTACATTTTAATCTATTAATAGGAGTCCAATTACAGTTGTATTGCTTGTTTAATTTAAGTGAACTAAATAGCTACAAAATTTCCATTTTGCATGCTATTATATGTTCTTATAATTAATACTTAATTAATCACATAAATATTAATGCAATCTTTAATTTGGGGTGCAATTTGTTAGTGAAATAGCTGTGCACAGAAATTAGGCATTGAAAGGCTTTAGAAAAAATATAATTTGAAATTCCTTTGTAATATAGTTTTTGTTTTTAAATTTATGTGTTTTTTAAAGAAGAAAATGAGAGGAGGATTCCATTTTTTAATTTTATTTGAACATAGCTGAAAATATATTCCAAGGTCATCTTCCAAGGTTCTATGCAGCCCTAATGTCTATATTTGTTATCCCTCTTTGATCAATATAGAAGTATTTCTATTTGGTGCGGAAGGCAGATGCTTACATATAACCCCTAGGGTATGTGGTATATGGAAGGTACCTTTAAGGGGCCTGGGGTGGAACGGTCCAGTTTTTCCCCTGATCCTATGTGGGGCAGTTAGGTGGTGGTGGCTGGTTCTCCCTGCAAGCTGTAAGTGTGTGTTACTGAATCCTGTTTCTCTGAAAAAGACGAAGCTGTTTATCATTCTACCAGTCTCTGCTGAATGACGACTCAAAGACAAAACTACACGGGTGTGGAGGTCTGAGTGAGTACCCCATCCCTGGAACCCAAGGGCCTAGGGAAAACATTATAGGATACATTATAAGTATTGTAATTTTATATAAAGTTATTTATGGACCGTGCATACCCACACACTTTACGGTCAACAACAATGGCCAAATCAACTTATTTTATTAGTGAAAAGGGAAGAAAATTGACAGAAAGCTTTTTTTTTTTGCAAATGGCTGCTCAAGGCACTTACCTAGAGCTCCTGTACTGATAATTGGGTAATCACTAAAAATAAACATTTACCTGATTTTTTTTTTTTTTCTGGATGGTGTTTGGAGGGGGGAAGGATGAATTCTTATTGAGGATAAGAGAAGGGGAAAAGATGATATTTAAGATCAAAGACATTTCATTCAAGCAGATCCAATTCCCCTCAAAAGGTCCCAAATGCTATTACCTCTCTTTTGTGTATAATGTGTTGAAAAATGATGCAGAGGTGCAACAGAATTAACCACGTTTCAGTGAGGCTTGCAAACCAAGCACTTTAATAATCTTGATTCTCTTTCCCTGTGATCATTATCCAGTGTCACAGTCAATTAAACAGTCTAATACAATTTCTAGAGCTGAAAAATTTCCATCACCAGAATTCATGGCTAGAAATTCTATTTTAGAAATTGGCTAGTGGGGAAAAATAGATATTGCATTAGAATAATTGTCCAGGTCTATGGCAAGAGTCAATTGGTTTCTAAAGTCTGTCTGTGGTGAAGATTCATGTCCTCAGCATTTTAGCATCCAAGGGTCCATAGTTAGCAGACAGACATACAGACAGATACATCCTGGGAAATTAGAAACATGCAGCACCAAAACAATACAATTTTCCCTTAGGACCCTTTACAAGATAGGAACATGCGGAATTAATATCAGGTCACTGGTCATTAATGACCAGTTTTAAAGAATGAAACACAGACTTTGATCTTATTTTTCTTTTGAAAAATCACAGGAGACCTAGCACTTTTTAGGATAGAAGACCTAGACTTCCTGGGGCAGGGGGGAAGGTGTCTAAAAAGAAAGGAGAGAAGTTCCAGATTTTCTCTTTTTGTGTCTTTTTTTTTTTAGAACATTGCTTTAAAAAAAATTAAAAATCTAAGTGATTCACAAAACCTGTAAGCATCATATGGTTCATGAAAGCTGTTCTCTTTCTTGCACATAACTGTGACAGAGAGCTGAATTTGGCTTCCTTTCAAGGAAAATGGGCCAAGAGGAGAGAAATTCTAATCTGTGTTTCCCAACTAATCACTTAATACTGCTCTAGCATCATCAGTGGTGCAAGAAAAAAACATTTTTTTTTAATTTTAATTTATATTGGAATGCAACTAACAGGCTCTTACTCTTCACATATATTTACTTGCTGTCTGAACAAGTTTAAAATGTGTTTCAGAGATGCATTATTTAATCCCATAAAAACATTTTACTAATTAAATATTCTACTTTGGTAACAAGGATTCTGATTAGTCCACATACACATTTAAATGAATTTGTTTTGATCTATTATTTTAAGAAGGTACAGAAATAACTTATTGTGTTGCATCGAACAGTAATAAAGATAAATTCTTTTCCATAATAAAGTTATATTACTTGTCATTATTTCTTTAAAAATACTTTCTTCTTGCAGTTCATTTTTCAGACAAACTGCCATACAACTCCTCCATTTTCAGAAACTACATATATTTTTTCAGAAACTAATATGAGAGAGAGATGAAACCTAAATACATTTGCACCAAACACACACACACTTACACACACACACACACACACACACACACACACACACACAGAGCTATATCTAGATCTATAGATATATGTGTGTGTTTGGTGCAAATGTATTTAGGTTTCATGATGGTTACAATTTATTTTAAGTATTTATACATCAAAATAGTTTCTGAAAATGGAGGCATTGTATGGAAGTTTCTCTGAAAAAGATGAAGCTTGCTCTCTCTCTCCATACATATGGCTCAGATCAGTCCTCCCCAGCATCAATGGCCTGCAGCTGTGCTCAGTATCCTTGGCCCATGGGAAACGGTGTACAGGCACCTAGCTGGGCCCCACTCAGTGAGGAGTTGGCACTGCTGTCAGACATACAACATATATATATGGAGAGAGAGATGTATCTATCTATCCAAATTCATTGGATAATTATCAAAATCCAGGATGGACGTCTGAAAGAGCTGTTTTGGCGCCACATTACTCCATTGTACGGGAGATCAACAATGCTATTGTGGCAAAATTTCCAGGCCAAGAATGGATTTGTATAAGTACAGATGCTCTTTCAGAGGATGAAAGTGTTATGGCTGTGCCAATTGAGTACCTGAATTCCATAGAGATATCAGGTTTGCCTTCACATCAGCTCCACCTTAAGCCTGGAATGCTCATCATGCTTCTGCAAAACCTTGCCCTTAAACCATTGCCCGTCTATGCAATGGAATGTGGCTATTGGTACAATTCATCATCAACAGCAGACTACTTCAGGTGAAAACTGTTGGATCAGAAAGAACAGTACTAATTCCTCAAATAGCACTGAAGCCATCTGTGAAGGAGTATTGGCATGGGGCAAGGCCAGAGGGGAGGAACTAATCAAGCTGGGAGAGCAGTGTTTTAGAAGCAGTTGCTCATTGCATTTAAAAGGAGCTGTGGGAGAGAGCCGCGAGGAGGGAAGGAGAATGGGCGGAATTTCCTTGAGTATGGAGAATGGGCAGAGGATCATGGAGACAGGGTGATCCAGGAGCTCAGCCCGGCAAGAGAGAGAGGGCTGGGCAAAGAAAGGGGCCGAGCGCACCCTGAAGAAGAGAGAGACCCTATACGGGACCACACAGGAAGAGAATCAGAGAAGCTAGAGAAAAGGAGACAGGAGTGCAGATGCCTAATTTAAAAAAAAACAACAAGAAATTGAGAAAGGGAAAAGGGGATGGCAATAGAGATGTAAGGAAGCTTTACCTTTGATTTTGGTTTAGTTGTTGACTGTTCCCATTAGGGGCTAATAGACAAAGTAACATAGCATAGGTAAATACTTACCCAAATGTTAAAAGCAGAAAGTTCGAGGCAATTCTTGATACGGATGTGAATTATAGATGGACCGATTAATATATTAAAGAGAAGAATACTCTGAAAGTGTTTTTGAAAAGAACTTTAAAAAAAAAGGGAAAAAAAGCTTTTTTTGGCCTGTAATGGTTAAAAGTGTAATGGCACTCTAAGGATAATAAAGAAAGTTACCTAATTACAACAGAATGTGGTCTGAGTATTTCCCAAAAATTCATGCACTGGTAACAGAGACAACGGAAAGGTGGGACCTCTGATAAAAAGGGTTAGGGGCAGTAGCATACTGCGGTGAGCAATACCTCCCAAACAATAACATCTACAATCATCAAGACGTGGCAGATGAGAGTTGGAATAGACACAGGAGGAAAAGGCCGAGACAGCTAGTACTAAACCCCTCCACACCATCTGATGACACATTTCCATTCACGTGGACACGTCAACAGTTCCCTGTGCAGGTAGCTTTCAGCATGACCATTAATAAAGCCCAGGGACAATCATTAAAAAGAGTAGGAGTGTTACTTGGAGATCCTGTCTTCACCCACGGACAACTGCATGTGCCTGTTTCCAGCATCTCCCACCCAGAAAACACCAGATTTGAAGTGACTCCAGACTTGAGTAACAAAACCAGGAATGTTGTGTATACAGAAGTGTTATAAAGCTCTTACCATAAGAAAGTGTGATATGTTTGAGGATTTTGTGTATGGACGAGAGTTGTAAAGCTATTGAAGTGCAATAAAATGTGACGTCAAGCAAAAATTGGCACATTCAATTTTCATGCAAGCAATTCTGCATGGGACATCTAAGTATCTCTATATCTATATAGATATAGGTAGAGATAGATATCTATCTATCTCCATCTATATATGTTTGGTGCAAATGCAGTACCTTCTATCTATCTATCTAGGGTACTGTATTTGCACCAAACATAGATAGATAGATAGATAGATATGTGCATATGGGGTTACTTTTTATTTGAAAATTGGATATTTTTTTATCAGAGAAAATTGTGTGTGTGTTTCATTTTAATCCTGGAAAAATGTGGATTCGGGCTTAACATTTCAATACAAAAGTAGGGGGAATTTTTTATCAGAGAAAACCAGGATACCTGTTGATAAGTTACATTCAGCCCCTTAAAATACTAAAACTCACCACTCATATAGTTGTATATTTTCTTTAAATTATTCATTCCATGTCCATTTAAATAAATAATATGTTATGTACATGTACAATTTACTTTTTATCTTAATTTTAAAAATGAAGTTGAGCAATGAAAGGAAATGTTTTTTTCATGGAGGATTGTTTTAATTTTATTTTTAACACCCAATTTGTTTCTTTTTTCCCTTTAATATATGATTTGTTAAGCTCCAGTATGCACCATTTTATTCTGAAAAAAAAAAAGCTTTAACAAGTAATATTTTAGTGCAACACAAAATGCTATCAGACCTTGAAGTTTTTCACTAAATTAAGTAGAATAGGATTAAATTTCTAGGTCCAGAATTTTTGAAGAACATATGGCTCAGTCTAATCAGTTACATAAAATTAATGAAGTATGAAGCATGATCATTTGTTCTCTACCATTTATTATAATACCCAAAATAAGATATCAAAGTTACTATCGTTTCCACTGACATTACAACCATTAGTTGGAGGTTAGAAAACATGAAAATGAGGTTTTATAAAGCTTTGATAAAACATGAATTTGAGTCTTCTTTAACTTACTACTATGAATAGGGAAAAATGTGAAAGGAAAGGAAATGATGATATTAAGGATCTTATTAAAGAACAGGCAGAATTTGGCCTAATCACTGGCAACCTCTGGATCATTCTTTTTCTGACATATTTATTTGTAGGAAGTAATGTGTTGAAAGGAAGGTGTCACATTTTGTCTACAAACTTACAATTCATATTTCATATCTTTTAAAATAACCCATGGGCCAGATCAAAGAAGAATTTAGACGTCAATATTGGAATTAGGAAGACTTGAGATGCATTAGACCAAAATTGTGGTTATAATTGTTATTAAAACAAAGATAACAACAACAAAACCCTACATAGCAGGCATGTCTATACATGTATTTACTTCTGCCTAGATTTACTGTGGTGTAAACTAAGCCAGAGTAAGCATTTTTGGGCAGGCATCTACACATATGGGAATTAGATAACAAATTTGCACCCAGTTCCCTACATCCCTGTAATGTGTCTCTGGGGCCACTGGAGGGATCTCTAGGCTCCAGCTGCAGCTGCCAGGATGTGGCAGCCTTCTTTAAAAAACAACTCCACCTCTCTGTTCTCTGGCCAGCCCCTTTCCTGCCCAGAAGCAGTGTGCCAAGCACAAGAACATCACCCAGCAGCTTTCTCCTTGGTCTTCCTATACTATGGCTGCTCCAGGCCCTGACCCTGGCAGTGATGACAAGTGCCCTGAGCTTCTTCTGGCTGCCATGATTACCCTGCTGGCCTGCCACACTGACTGCCACCTGGCCTACGGCCATCTCACCCTGCCTGGCTCCCTGATGACCAGTAACTGCCTACCTGACTGCAGCACATCATCTCAGGGTCACTATCACCAACCTGGGCTTCCAGTCCCACTGCCTCTGGGTCTGCTGCTCCAGCCAGGACTGGTAGTGGTACATCATCCAGCACACCTGAAATGATGAACAGTGACTGGACAGCCTCTTCATGACCTGGGCCACCTATTACAACCTGCTCTAGCACTTCTGGACCCACCTGGAGCAGCAGAACACCAGCACTCATGAAGCTCTTCCCATAGACCCCCCACTAGCCCTTACTGTGCTCAGCTTGGCCACTCCTGCCAGGAAGGTACAGTCCATGGTACAGTCCACCTCTAATGCAGATGGTGCATCCACAGGTTCTCAGTGATGGGTGGCAGTGACCCTGAGCCAGCATCCCTGATACCAACTGTAGCCTCTCCCCCATATGCAGCAGGACCTGCAGAACCATGAGACAGAAGCTTTTTTGTGAGAATTTTCAATGTTTCAGAGATAAGATGCTCTGTTCCAGAGGCTGTACTCTGCCTGGCCTCAGATTTGGGGTCAGGTGCCCAAGGACCATGGTAAATTGGGCAAGCAGTCCCAGGCCCAGGCATCTTATGCCTGAGCCCCCCATCTCTGAGTGCTCCCCTGAGGCGAGCAACAAGCTGGGTGCTGGCCGCAGGCAGCCTGACTCCCCTGTTCTGTTTCCAGGGAAGGAGAGGCCATGCTTTTCTGGCTCCAGGCCCTGCTACCCTTCCCCTCCACCTGCAGTCCCACTGGAATCGGGGAGGCACAGGGCTCCTGGACAACTGGAATGAGGAGCTGCTCACATCCCCATCTTTCCCTTAGGACACCACTCTGGGGATGCACCCTGGGGCCATCCCCCTGCCATGCCACCACTGGGCCCCAAGCAAGCCCTTGCTGTGCATGCCCCAGTGGTTAATGATGAGCTGTTTGCATATGCCAAGGGATGCCCAACCCACTAAGCCCAGGTATTGATGATCCTTAAGGTTTCCAAAGAACACGTGTGCTCCTGGTACAGGACCATGAGCTACAACCACATGCAGGCCTGGCCCAGGATGTCCCACAACTTTTTCCAGAACCTGGAGGACTGCCTGTGGCTGCACTATGCATCCCTGGCCCATGTTGCTGAGGAGGAAGCATTGACACATTCCTCGATGTGTGAGAGGACCATGCCCACCTAGCCAAGGGGGTATGGGATTTTCAATAGTGTTTAACAATATCTTCCACCTCTCCCAGGGCCAGGGAAGTGTGGGTGGGCTGGGTGTGGCTACGAATGATGGTGGTGAGGGCA